TATTCCTCTTTATAGTTTCTAGTCTTATCATAATAAACCAGAATTGCAGTAAGAAGGACAATCACTATAAATTATCTAACAGAATTAAAATTTTTCCTTATTACATACTAATAGCTTAAGATGAAATTTAATTGATATAAATGGAATTTAAAGTAAAATTATGCCCGCCATCAAATAGAAGATTGGTTTATTTATTAAAATTTTAAAGACCAAAAATATTATAAAGAGTTATCAAATAGCTTTGGTTTCATGAATTAATAGTATTTGAATATATGAAAAGCAACAAATCTGAACTGTTTAAAGGTTAAAAATTTAAATTAAACTGTGTTTTAAGGTAAGGAGGTGATGTTTAGATAATATCCTAAAGTATCATCCTGCTTTAGAGAATGTCTAGACCCTCAAGTATCCACAAAATTGAGATAATACAATTGAAACCTTAATTAGAAATCATAAGAAATATTTCTTTAAAATTTAAAATTAGAACTAGTATTGTTTCAAATTGGAGTATTTATAAAGGATCTAGATCAACTTAATATCATTTTCTTCACCTTCAAGTAATATTTAACTTTTTAAGACCTGCACTATTTTGTAAGATAATTACTATTTAGTATATACTTTGAAATAGATATACACAATTACTTATTAATTTTACTATTTTAATAATGTAATGGCTTTAAAACTGTACTAGGTGCATACATAAATTTGAGTTCATTTTAATACTAATTTTGATTAAATTGATACATTTTAGTTTTATTTCTGTTCCAAAAATAGAATAAGTCATCTTAAATTTTCATCCAAGTGCTATTTGTATAAATAAGCTTTATAGAATATATTACAAAATTTTATTCTAAATTAGTTTCATTTCCAATTGTTAAATTTATAACTTTATAGAAGTCTTCCTTTTCCTTTTGGCATAAAACATAAATGATATTTTAATAAGTAGTAGAAGCAATGCAATACTTATATGGACCAAAAGGGTAAGAAAGATTTGAGTCATAAATTAATACACTCTAATTACTCAAAAGGACAAATTGATTCTTTAAAATTGTGCTTAAATTATATTACTCCGTATACTCAGTTAAAATACAATTATCAATGATGTTAGTCAAAACTATATCACCGTTACCTTCAATTAAGAAATATTCAATCTATTCCTGTGCTTTTATATCGTCTCTATAAATTTATAGAGAGGATTGATTCTGATCAACACTGAAGTTTTTATCATCAATAATAAACATAATATCTATAATAATATTGATAATGATTAAAGAATTATTGGTTGAGTTTAGTAAATATAAAGGATTAAGTTCTGAAGAGATAGTGAAATTATAGATTAGATCAGAAAAATACTCATTTTATATGATGTAGTTTTAGAATGATTATATTAGTATCTTTGTTAAGGAATATAAAGACTAATTAAAACTAAGGAATGCTAACCATTAAATAAAATTTATTTATATAAGGTAGAGTGTTCAGATTATTCTGGATTATAAACCTTTATGATATTATCCATTTAGACATAAAAAAATAGATTATCTGAATAGAATGAAAAATGGTTTCTAATTTGAATAGTTGTTAGATTTTTATGGAACTTTGGATGAATCGAATCCTTAACATTCCATACTTAAAAGCATAAAGCTTGTTGATTATCACAACTAAATGACAATATTAAAAAATTCTGACAGATTTAATATATACACATTTACTTCTATTAAAGAGAATAATACAAATTAATATTCCTCTGGTATAGATCCTATTAAAAAACTATTATTATTGTTGATGTAATTCTTTGATTGATATTATTGGTTTATAAATATATAAATTAAATTAAATGATATTGTTCTTCTAATCAACTTTGTTAATATAGTTGAGTTTAGTAAAATTATTTATTTGTTGTCGAATGTACAAATTGCTAATTGATTTGACTCTAATAATAATACAATTGAATTATAGAGAAGTTAAAATTATTTGTATTATTCTACTTAGAGAATAATATTATCTGTGATAACCATTTTCGTAACCTTATTCAAAAGACTATATATTTAGACATTTTTTGAATTTAAACTTAGTCCAACTTATTAAAAAATAGTCCTCCTTCTGTAAAATATTTAATTTCTATTTAACTATTATTAACTGTAAAGTCTTCTAAATTTATAGATAAAGATATCAATTATATCTTTTTTTAGTAGATGTCAATAGTTTAATTTTATACTGCTACTATAAAAAAACAACCAATTGGATTTGATTACATCCTTACTTAAGATCGAAAGCAAAAATCTTGACCAGTTAAAAAATTTTTTAGAGTTCAATTCTTATTAGTTGTAAAGTATCATCATTAAAATCACCATACTATTTATTACTCACATGACTTGTTGGTCTTATAAGAGGTCCTGATACATCTAAAATTGGATAATGAAATGTAGATTATTAAAGATTATAATAGGTTTATTGTGTAGTATTAAATACTGAATAAATATTTATATCTTAATAGGTAGTTTAATTAAAATAGATTAAAATCTAGCAATCAGATAAAACAATTGAATTAATGATTTTAAATGCTTCAATTACAAAGCTACATACTTAAGATTTTATGAGAAGCTTAAAGTTGGGAATGAAGTTTAGTATATCTTGATACTATTTCCAAATATAAAAAGTTCTTAATTATTTTAGTTGAAATAAATTATAGGTTTTTCAACTTTTGAAATTATTTTATGCTATGCTAGAATAGGTCTCCTCTTAACGTTTTGATTCTATATAATAATGAATTAACTATTAGCAAATAGTGAAAACTCCTTAGCCTATAGTTATAGAAGTATTTTTTGCTACAAATTTCTAGAGGAAGTTATTACTATAGAATATTTCTTAAAAACTTATTTCTTCGCCCTATTTTATTATAATTATAAATCTATCGAATTGATAATAGGTATCAATAGAATAAAAATAAGCCAATAGAACTTTGTATTGGTACAAAATATCACATTTTTAATTACTCTTGAGCTGACAAAATATAAACTAAAATTTTATTGCCAAATTAAACAAATAATTAATTCTTGGTGAATCCTATAAATGATACAAGAAAGTCTTAAATTTTGCCATTTACTTTAGTTATATTGTAAAATGTATTATTTTTTCTTTCAGATCTAAAAGCCTTAACCTTAAAAAAATTATCCTTATATTGAATATACTTCTGTTAATTGGCGAAAGAACTTATTTTTGTTCTTAAAGGAATTAAACTGTGAGAAGTAAATATTTAAATTAAATCATTATTTTCAAGATAATATAGAAATAATTATTATTCTTAATAACAATCTAAAAATATCTTCTCTTCTGATGTATAAATGACATTAAAGCAAACTAAGTCCTAATTTATACTTATTGTCCTCTCCAATTCTAAGTTATTCATATTTTTGGCATAAATATTTAAAGTGTGAATGAGAGTTAATGCTACAAAATAATCATTCGAAGATGAAACAAAAATAAATGTATAATCTAAATATCAGAAATTAATACTGTTTGAGCTCTCTCCTATTTAAAATAAGGCATTTGACACACTCACATTATTTAGGCAATTAGGGCAGTCAAATTTTAAATCTTCGTTTCTAAAAAATAATTCCAAAGACATTTCTATAGTTTCCCCTTGAACAGGGTATATAAAATATTCATCATGCTATTATTAACAAGCTTATATGATTATAAACTGGAGAAAAATAATCATATGTAAATTTATATACTATTTTGGATTTATAAAAGATTTTAATCTCAGATCAAGTACACAATTTAAGAGCACATTTATTATCTATTAATTCATATATATTAAAACCAAAAATTAAATTTTTTAATATTGATAACTATCCTAATACAATAATATTTATTCTTATAAATATGGATAAGAATTAAAACTACGGAACTGAAAAATTTTATTGCTTGAGATTAGTGAATTATATCAATCATGCTATATTTGCATCTATTTATTTATTCGTAGGAATGTTCTATTAATTAAATATAAAATATGAATTTTTATTTTGAGTGACTATTAGTCTTCACAATTGAAAAAATAAATTAATTAAAGGTTTTTAAAGGCAAATTAAAAGGCAAACTCATAGAATAATTTACTCAAGGCTCATAATAATCGATATCTATAAAATGTTTAATTAATTTATATTTACATTATTTTCATTAATATATTCATCTGTTAATTAATCAAAAAAATTTTAGAATGAATTCAAAAGACTAATTATAGAGATTAAAAATTAAATATGAATAATTTCATATAGCATAAAAAATCATAGACATAAAATCCTTTACTCTTTTAATTTATTTCATATATAATTAAATAAAATAATAATAATAATGAAATACCTAAAAAAATTAAATTATGAAAGATTTTTGGATACATTAAAAAGATTTAGCAAATGATAATTGTTTCTCTAATTATTGGATCACTTCAGTTCATTTTGGCTTTTTTCCATTTCTATTAATTGAGTATAGGTAAACTTTTTATTTATTGTAATCCTATTTCTAATTGATTATGGTTCAAATGAATACCTTAATATTACCATGGTCTTGTAAAAGTTTTTTAGTTTTTAGTCTTAATTGAATATAGTTATTAATCCTTTAATATTATTTACAATTAAAAGTCAATATAAATAATTGGGTTCCTAAAAATATTAAACTAGAGAGAAATACCAATTTAATTCTACTTAAGAATCTCCTTTTAGTTATTAAAATATTGATACAACTCTTTAACCAATGATAAGTTTTATTTTATTTATTGATAATCTTATTAACTTAAACATTCAAATATTCTTTTCAATTATTTGTTTATCATTTAAAATTTTTTTTAATTTTTCTTTAACTTTATATTTGACTTAGGCGTAGAATCCATTCAATGAATTTGTTAAATTAAGAAGATTATCTTTAGTTTTAGAGATGAAACCTATAATCTAACCAAATCTTTTGAGGTTTTTTTTACAACTAGCATGCTTCAATCGGATCAGCTGCACATTTTAGACAAAACTAAGGTCTGGAATCTTTGAATTCCAAATTTAAGCAAAATCCTTTAATATCATCATTTTCATATGAAATATCTTAACACGTAAAAATTTATATTAATTTATTTAATAAATTTTTTATTTCATAATTTAATGATAATTGTACATCTCTTAATACAAAATAATTATAAATTTTCTATCCTTCATTTTTCATTTAAGCTTTAGAATCGAAATGTAATGCTAACGTAATCTCTTGAATAAGACAAATAAAAGTAATTAGTATAGATAAATGAACTTTCATCTAAATCTATCCATTTTCCATTTTTTAATCCATTTTCATATAATCAAATAATTAAAGATGAACACTCAAACCAAAATCTGAAATCTTATCAATATCAGCATTGAAACAAAAAATTTTTCAGGTTTTAAATCTCTATGTATGGCATTCATTGAATGCATATATCGTGATGCCATTATTATTTGCTTGATATTAATTTGATGCCATTTTGTCATTTAATTTCTTATTCTACAATAATTTATAATAATTTATAATAATTTCTTTCATCTAAATTATTGCTTCTTCATTAAAACATACAAGTCTTCCAAAGGGGCCATTCAAGCATTAGGTAAACACGTTTTACTGTATAAAAAAGCCATATAAACTAATAATATTAGGATGTCTATGATGTGTGAGTTTTTCAACTTCTCTAGTTAGAGGTCTAGTCTATTAATTAAGATTAAGTTATCTTTACTTATGATGAAAGCAGTGCCTTAAATTACTAAAATATTTTGAAGTTTAAAAGTCCTATAAAATTTTGATAACAATTTTTATACAGCTAAACACTAGAGAGGATAAGATTATATAAACATAAACCGGATAAAATATATACTAATAGAAGTTATAGTATATAAAATAAGTTAAAGAAAAAAAGGATAAAAAGGAAAAATAGGCTCATAATTTAGTGTAGAATTGTAAAATGAAGATTTTGAAGTAAGAAACAGAAAATCCCCCTAAATATGAATTATAATCATCTGATCTATAGTATAATTTAGATTAGAAGTCTAAAATTAATAATGTCTTAAAATTTATTTTAATATAATAACATCTTAGATTATCAACTTATCTCACCATAAATTTTATGGGGAAAAAATCTAGAATCATAAATAGTATACATTGAAGATATAAATTTGATTTTTTAAATCTAATCTATAACTGATAATGGTTAATTTTTGATCGAAGAGCCTAATATTTCTAAATGTTAGTTTTATAAACGTAGATACAACGTTCACAAATATAGATATTCGAAATTTGATGAGCAGCTAACAAGGAATCAAAAAATAAAATGATTGTGAGCTAATTAATTTAAAATTATAACAGCAATGTTTCTCATTTTATTATATTGCATGATAGGAGCAGCAAATGTTATTCATAAGAATTTTGATTCTTTTTTAGTTTTGAATGGATTCATCTTATCAAAATAATTTATTAACATAAAGGTTTTACACCTTAAGCATCATTAAGATGATAATTTAATTTAGTAAAATTATTTCAATGCTTTAACTTGATTTCTTTTTGATATTAAAAAATATATTAGCTTTAAATTAAATATTTAGCATAAAATAAATTTTATTTAATAGAATTTGGTAATTGTTTATTAATATAAAATATCCTAAAAAGATTTTGTATTATTAATAATCAAAACAAAATGAATGATTTAGCGTGCTAAATGCCTGAGGTCAGAGAAATGATATGTAAAACTCATAAACGGGAGTTAGTTGCAATAGATTTAGTCTCATCAGAAAGTAGGAAATTTGAATTTTTGTGTTTGGATTGTTTAGTTGAGAAAATCAATAATAATAATATTTCAACATTTGAATCAACAAAAATTAGAATTTAATAATATAAGAATAAAAGATTAGAAAAAAGGACTAAAGACATTGAAATAAGATAGAAGAATTTTGAAATTCTACTTCATTCAATTAATGAGCTGAAAAATAAAATTGAAGAAGCTTTGGTTAATATCTATAGTGAAATAAAAAAATAAATGTCAGAAGGAAAATAATCTTTAGAAGAATTTTAAACCTAGCTTAATTTCTTAGAGGATGTTAAATAATTATCTGAATTTCTTTCTATTTAAGAAAATGAAAAGGAATTCCAATAAGATGGCTAATTTATTGATGGCATTTTTTAAAAGTTTGAGTAAATTTTTAAGATTGAACACAACAAAACTATTTAGACTTTTAAGGATGTTTTATGGAATATAAATAATTTCAATCGAGATATTAAAATTGAAATAATGCAAACATAAAATAATTAAGTAATTTTTTCTATTTTTATTCAAGAAAACATCAAGTTTAAGTAGCTTATGTCTTAAACATAATAAAGAAATAATTATGATTGACATAGATTCTAAGAGTAAACAAATAGAAGATAGATTTGCTTGTGCCAAATGCCTTAGTGATCATTTCAATAACATTAATGATCATCCATAATGCTAATATAAAACCATTGAAGAAGTAAATTAGATATGGAATGATAAAATGAAAGAATAAGATCAAATTGTTGATGATTTAATGTCAAAGAGGAATGTAAAAAAAGTTAAGCTGTAGGAAAAAATTGCTAAAATGAATTAAGGATACATGGAATAATTAAATGATATTAGCGAAACCGTAAGAAAAAATCTAACAAGTTAAACAAGAGAGATTAATAAATTTAAATATGATTCTATACAATAATTAAGTAAGGAAGATTTGCTTTCAAATATTTAAATCCTAATTCATTAAAATTAAAAACAATAAAATGAATACATTGAATAAATGATGATAAAAGAGTTATAAAATTCAAAAATTATCGCAAGCAAATTTGAGCAATTAAAATGGCTTGATTAATTAGACATTTAATAGTCAATAAATATTTTACAGGATAAACCATGTAATTAATATTTAAATATTAGATAACAACCAAATCCAAGGAATTCTCAAACCCTTACAACAAATTAATGAGAGTAAATCAGCAAATTAAGAATAATTGATAACAGAACAAGAATTTTAGGAATTTATTATTTCTTCATAATAAATTTATTGTTAATTGGATTTATTTAACCAAACAATTAAATAATTTTAAGATCATCTATTGAAGATTGATTCGATTAATGATAAATTGAAAAAAAATCAAGATCATTAAAATTTTACAAACATCTACAAATAATTTTGTGATTATATGGATAAATTCGAAAAGGATTGTTTTAAATTTCAGAAATTTTTGCAAATGGATTAACTAGAGAATGAACTGGAGACTTTGAGAGAGAAATTAAGATTGAATATAGAATTAAAGGAGAAAGAATAAAAAGAAATGAAAGAATTACATGAATAAGCAATTTAAGATTTTAAAAAATAATATCAATAGATGATGAAGAAATTTGAAGATGAATGTAATAGATTTTGATATATTCATAGAAAAGGAAATAAAATAGAAGTTTAATTAAAATTTAACTCAAAAATAATTATAATTATAACAAGCAAGAACCAAACTTGATTAAATTGAATAAATTCAGTTAGAATCAGAAAAATAAAAAAAAATAGAATTAGAAGAAGTATATTTAAAATCAATTTATTATATTTTTTTAGATTCGATTGTTTAATAAATCATTATAATTTTCAAATACTTATAAACACAGTAGCTGTTAAGTAAGTGAATGTGGAAAACTTGTGGCGGAAGTTAATAATAGTGGTTGGTATTATTGTCTTTGTGAATAATCGATTCCAAAAACTGGGAAAATTTTGTTTGCATTTTAAATACTTGATGGATCATATTTTCATGTTGGAATAGGATTTAGAGAAATTATGTAGAAAAATAATTATATTAATTGTTATCATCCTGGATGCGGGTATATAATTATATGATAATAGAACATATGTAATAAATAATTATGGTATTCTTTTTTCTCATTCGAACAAAGATGTAGATAATAAGCAATTATGCTTCTTATTTACAAATAATGATATAATAATAATTGAAGTATGTATTGAACATAAATATATTAAATGGAGGAAATCGAATAATCCATATTTAACATTTGTTGTATACATAGTATCTATGATTAGGTGGATGATATAGATACATCATAAGAATTATATCCATGTGTAAGTGTTTATGGCAAATCTAGAATACGATTATTGGATAGTATACCAATTTGATAATGAAGAATATCAAATAAATATAAAAATATTGAAATATTTATTAATTTTTGTGGTTTATTTTGAATGAAAGTAGATGATAAATATGATTCAAATTGAAGCGAGCATTTTAGATAATTTTAGACAACTAACAAACTCATTCAGAGAAATATCAAAATAAGCAGCTATTCTTCATATTAAGCAAATCAAATCATGAGATTCAAATAAAGTTAATATTTATAGAGGAATCAAATAATATATAAGTGATATTTTTCAATTAATTACAGCAATATTTTATATAAAAAGCATAGGCAAATTTGGTAATCTTAATCAAAATATTAGGTATTAGATATTTTGGCAAAAAAATAAAAAAAATTGAGAAATAAGATTCAGCATCTCATGCTTATTAATTAGAGTTCTCAATTAACTTAGTAATTATTTTAACAGAAGCCAAAAACTGTAGATAATAGTTTATTTAATTAGATCATTTTTAATTGGATTTTAATGTGATCTTTATTTCAAGATTTACAAATAATTAATATGGAGTAAGGATATCAAAGCTTTTACTTGAACTTTTATTTAAGACATTTGATTCGAGACAATAAACCTAGGATTCTTGAAAAAGGAGTATATATTAAAATGATCATTATTGATTGTATTACAGAGTGGAAATGCAAAAATCAAATTTATTAAAGCTTGTAGATTTTTATTTTAAGCAGTATTTGTATTTATAGATTACTTTTTTAAATGAATCAATATTTAAAAATTGTTAGCATAATATAATATAATGTCCAATAAGTTGGAAAAGAAATTTAGAATAATCTATAATGGATGATATAGAAATAAGATTATCATTAAGATACCTGTATAATTTGAATTTACAAGTTTAAATGAGGTTTAAATTTTTAATGAACATAGGACTCTAAAGTTTAATATTGAAGAAGATGATTAGAAAAGAACAATAATAATGTATGAAGTAAAATAGCATAGCATGAAAAATAAATTAAATAATTTCAAAACTATTTATTAAGAAATTCATAGCCAAATAAATGAATAAAGGAAACAATATCATTGACTTCAAGATTCAGTCTCATTAATGGATATTTTAATTCTATAATGTTTTTTTTTTAATTTTCAACTACTAAATTTATTTTATTTTTTTATAATATGGTTTTAGAATAAAATAATTTTTAAATATAAATTGTAATGAATCTACTCTCATTTTATTAATTGGCGATTGTGTTCAATTGTAAAAGATTATTTTTCATCAGAAGGAACAATAAAGTACATCAAAAAGAAGAATTATAAAATTAATCAAATAGATTATACTTATTAATTTAGGTGTGTCAAATAATCAACATCAGGTTTATATAATTATTTCTTACGGAAAGGTGGCACATCTCTTGCAGAATTGACTCCTATTTTTGATGATAGATTTGATATATTCTAAAACAATATTTACCAATTCTACCATTAAATTCTTTTTATATCATAATGATTAAAATCCATCAAATCAAATGAAATAAATAAGCTCAACTTTTCTTCTATTTATCCTAAATTTTATGCTGTCAAGAGTTCTCTAACCACAATTTTAATGAGTTTTTATTAAGATGATCTAAAACTGATCTAACGCTCTCAGCACAAAAATCAATTAAATGCATAAAGCATTCAAATTTTACCATTATCAACCAAATTGGCTTCTAAATTCCAAAAAGTCTGTGGCATATTTAGACCACGTATTATTAATAAAAAAAGTTATATCTGACTATTTTGAAATTGATTAATTTAATATAGGAATTTTTGAAGAAGAGGTAAGCAACAAAAGGATCACTTTAAAAGCACCAAGTAAATTCTTTTTATTCAAGAATTGGATACAAAGTAATTATCAACGAATAATCGATAATATCTTCTTCAGAGAAAATTTCATATAAATGATGAGCTACTCTAAGGGTAAAAACTTTAAGTGCGTACTAACTTATTGAGAGATCATCAACCGTTTGGTCAAGATGAAGTTTAAAGTATTCTTAATGTGCCTAGGCATGAGGTACCTTAATAATGGGAGATTCATAAATTTTGAAAAGTTTTGAATTTAAATTTCTTACTCCTGCAAAACTACTTTTTTAGTACTCTAGAAAGAGAAAGAAAACTTTTGTAATTTTTACCAAGATTTACAACATCTACAAATAAGCAAAATTATAATTTAAAGATAACTCTTTAATAATTAATGGGATAGAGAATCTCTTTGAAATTTATGAATTTCTAAATATTACTGGAATCATATCATCTTTTGAAATTTCATCAAATTCTTTGAAATTATAAAGGAAAAAAGATTGATTACATAATTTGTATTGGAATTTATACAGAGGAATTA